AGGGTCTGTGATATGCAGAGCTGACACTCTGACAAGAAGCCCCCCTCTTCCATATTAATGTTTATTACTCGTAATATGAAAACTCTGATTTGGTTCATATATTGTGAATTTAAAACTGTCAAAACAATAAAATGTGAGATTTTTGGGTGATCTCCCTTTTACGTTAGTCCTAATGAAATTACGTAGCAGTTTTTGTGTGACAATAATAATGTAGGAGTCCCAACGTCCCATCTGGGGACTTGCCTGAGAGTTGTGCTATTTTTCATGTTGCCTGTATGGGCCCCAATGCCCCGTCCTCCCCACTTTACCCAGACACGACTAAAGCCCACAGGTGAGGCTGTAACTGACTATTCTACATAAACTGTTCTTCCTCTTATGGCCAAGATTTTCTTAACACTTCCTGAACTGCATGCATCTTTCTCCTTCCTGTTTAAACACAGCCCCCCTACCCCACCACAAACTTTGAATATATTCCCCTGCTCACACGCTTCCACTGTTCTCCTGGTAAAATGCGTGTTCACACACTTGAGGATCTTACATGTATTGAGGAGAGGTACCACAGGCATGCTGCTGTATCCACGTCTGCTGCATCAGTGATGGCTGTTGGTCGTCTGTAGAGGCTTTACTGTCTTATTCTGTGCTGCTGGCATGGTGCATATTCATTAGTCAAATGAAACAATACCGGTCCTCAAGTGCAGTAAAGAACTGACACTACATCACAGCGATGCTCTACACCTCGCCACTTTAGACAAGCAATCAGGTTTTGTTTGATACTAATACCCAATAATTGAAAATATCTGATTTGGTAGCCATGTATTTTTAAATTTCTGACAAAATACAGGTCATGTAGACTGAATGGGATATTGTGGTTCTATACGTTTTGGAGGGAGTCTGGAAATGATGTATTGATTAATGACGATAGTTTTCTATTTTAACGGGACAATTTGAGAAACATTAACAATCTAGAACTGATTTTGAGGCGAAATATCTTTGTCTAACTTTGTACATTTAGCGAGTTTTTTTTTTTTTTTTTTTTTTTTTACATGCATTTTACAAAACAAAAAAGATCTCCTCACCTGCAGAGTAGTGTAACTTAATGATGCTGCAGAGTCTTTTTAATTTGAAACGACTGTTGCAGGAGGAGTAGTCACATGGCGACACTCAGCCAGGGTGAACATGTTTATGCAGCTCAAGGTGAGAGAGGAAAGGTAACATAAAGTCCCATAGGACCCTAACCTGAGCAGGAACACTGTAATGTGATATGTCTTCACCACCAGCAGCACTGATAAGAAAATAAATGTCGAGCCTCGATACCTCTGCTCTGCTTGTTGTGCCATTGTCCTCTGTTGTCGCTGTCTTCTCGTCTGCCTGCTGCCTTTGGCTCTGTGCTCTTCTCTTTTCACTTGTGTGATCTCCACACGTCCTCTAAATGTCCCTTCTGTCTCTTTTTCTTTCAGTCTTGGTCTTGGTAATGGGCAAAGAAGGGGTCCATGGAGGCGGATTGAATAAGAAGGCATACTCGATGGCAAAATACTTGAGGGATTCAGGGTTTTAGTTTAGTTTTGACATAGCTTATGTGGCATAGTCGAGGGAGATAGAGAATAAAATGAGCAAAAAGGCAAACAAAAAATACAAAACTTTAAAAGAACAGACAAAAAACAAATTACTGTCAAGTCCATTTTCTCCCCTGAACAAAAAAATATCCCAGGAGCATTTCTAACGCAGCGCGGACTCTGTCCTCCACAGTGTAGCCCAACATTTAGCGAGGTGGCAATATATGAATAAAACGTACTTTCTTTTCTAGTCCTGCAATCTCCATGTCTGTTCATTTATTGTTTTTTTTCCTTTTGTGTACTCCAGCATTGGTTTTTGTCATGGGGAAGGAAGGTGTCCATGGAGGGCAGCTCAACAAGAAATCTTTTCAGATGGCTGATTACCTGAGGAAGTCTGGATACTAAAGCAGCCTGTACCCAGCCACCTAGCAGCTCACCCTTACCACCCTGTTGCATTTCACACAACTTCCAGTCCTAGTTGGTAGTTATGTTTTGTTTTTTTCTTTTACTTCTGCCTTCTCTCCTCCCCCATTTTTTTTATCCCCCTTTATTTTTCATTGTCAACTATCCCTAACCTCCCCTCCCCCAAACACTTGTGCTGTGTCCTCTACCCCTTTTTAAGCACTATATAAGTTGATCCATAGATGAGCATGTTCCTAACAGGTTGTCATGACAAATCTATACTTAACCAAGACCAGCAAAAAAAAAAAAAAGGATTCTGGCCAAACACTCTGACAATGAAGGCGTCAATTTGAAGTAGTTTTTTTTTTTTTTTGTCATGGTGCCCATAACCTAACCCCACCCTGAACCTGATCACACACTCCCTCCCTGAGCAGCCAACGCCATCGGAGCACTTGAGCGGTAACCAAGCTCTTCATGTCTTCCTTTTTACCCCACGCCTCCACATCATGTCTGGGAGGGGAGACTGCGTGCATATCTCGGTCCACCGTCGTCCCCCACCCCTCTACACTCCAGCCAAAAATTCTCTTTCTCCCCCCCATGCCCTGTTATCCCCCTAAACAGGTGGCACATTCAACCTCACAGGAGACTCATCTTCACCATTCAACTATTCTCTAGCCTCCCTCTCTTCAGATTCACTGCTCTGTCCTGAATGCATAGGGGTTTATTTGGGGCAGGGGGGTCATCCAGATGCTGGTAACCTCTCCTCCCAACATCACAACCTCCCCAACTACACAAAATCCCATGGACATTCCACAGTAACAACAGCTCAGGCACTTAAATCTGTTTTTGTTTGCCAGCTCCTGTAATATATATTTTTTCAATTTGTTTTATTTTGAAAGGCTGCCATTTTTCGGACAGTAGATAACCCAGCATATAACCACCTGGAGTATGTCCAGTTTGAAAATGTTTTTTTTCTTTTTATAGGACCAAGTGTAGTCGAAGCTCGGGTGTTTATACAATTGCTCTAAACCATGTGAAGGATGACCTCTAACTTTTTTTTTTTTTTTTTTTTCTGAAGAAGGAAACACTAAGCAGACAGTTATACATTGTAATGGTTCAACTCTGAAGCTACAGGGGAGGTAAGGGTGGGAGTATCTGAAGTAAATGATCATGTTTTTTTTCTCGATTGTTTAGACAACAAACGACTGCATTTGTATAAACCCACTCTGTGTTGACAACTACAAAACTGTGGAATAAATTGCCTTCTACTCTATAGTCAACTGAGCTCTGGGGTACCACACAGTCTGTCCTCAGTCAGTACTGCTAACTGTAATGTCCAACTGAGGAAAACACTCAAACGTAGAAATGACACTCAATGGGAGATGGGATTGGTTGGAACAAAGACGCTCATGGTTGTCTTGTGGAAAACTTAACTGCAGAACCTGTGTATCCTGTGCCATAATGTAGAGAGATCTGTTGCTGTTGTAAGATGGATTTTACCCACTGTCCACTAAAGAGTCATGTCATTGGCACTTTTCTATTCTTTTTTTTGTCTAGCTTCAGCTCCACTGTTTAGGCCTTGTGGGATATATGTACTCATTAAAAAAAACCTGTTTCAAGCCCTGTTTGCAGATTTATGTTCATTTCCTTTTTTTCTTCACCACTTTTTTCTTACATCTGGGATTCAGTCTCTTTAATGCATTCAATTTCATATGCATCAAACCAAGAAATGCCATAAATTGATTTATCACCTTGTTTACAGAAAGATCAAATAAATTTATTCCAACCAGATCAAGTGTTTCCTGACATTTTTTTCCCCCGTCTCTTTACAGTAGCTCAGGGGAATGTTTGTATTTGCTTTCTTGCAGAGTCTGATGAGAAGTTCAATAGCATTTTCTATTGTCTGTCAAAGCTAAAGCTAGCAGCCTGTTAACTCAACATAGATTAAAAAAAAGTCACACTAAAAATATTACAAGGTTTAATACTTTTAGGTAGATCTTATGTCAACATTGATATAACATTATTTTTGTAAATTATGCTTCAAACTCCATCAGTAATCACTTGTACCTTTTGACTTGACTGCGAATACGTCACCTTAATTATGGTAAAAAGTAAATTATTCTTAGATTCCTTATCAATAGACAATTAAATGTAAGACTTGAATGAAGAACATTGTACTTCTTTCAAGTTGAATTCATGACTGGTCTTAAAGTCTCAAATAACTTTGAAACTGGCAGAAATCCTGAACAAAGACCTGTCCGGACTTTGAGTGAAACCAGGAACTGCCTGGACTCAAATAAAAGCTGCAGGTTTTCATGAGACAGGCCACAAATGAAAAAAGTACTGTTCTTTGAGTTCAGTGATTGATGTATCTGCTGTAGTCAGACACAATTGTTCTCTGTTCTAACCTCTCAGGTTCAGAGTTTATTCTTGGCCTTCGATAGGTGACAAGACACATTCAAATCCATTTAGTAGCTGCTGCTCAAATCATGATCCTAAGCAGATGGGAGTTTTTGAACTAACTTGAAGATCTTACAGATATAGTGCTCAGAAAAACTTTGAACTATAATAAAAGTTTTTGGATTAACAGTGTTAATGAAGTATCCTGATACTTTGTTGAAGTAAAAGTACTTCATAAATAGTTAGTCATACCACTCTACTGTACTCAGATAGTTTAAGTCAGTGATTCACAACCTAGAGGTAGGGCCCCTCCAAATGGTCACAAGATAAATTTTAGGAGTTGTCATATATGATTAATGGGAAGAAAAGTTTGCACAAATCTGAATTAATTCTTCAGACAATCCATTCACATCTGAAATGTGACCAAGTGACACAAATGTGCAGATGTTTTTTTAAGTGGGTACCTCGGGTTTATGCAATGCAGATAAATGTGCAGTAAAATAAAGTTTGGTGGAGCAGACAAAGTAGCTGCACCCTCTATTTCTGTTTTGAAAACCTCAGTTAGTTGAAGTATTTTCTGGACAGACTAAGGTCAGTTTGTCCCCGTTATGACTCAGACAGTGGACAGTTTCTTTTGTCATTTTCAATTTATTGAAGTGAATTCATATTGAGAACAGACAAACATGGGCAGATAAACACTGACGAGACATGATACATCAACTGAAAAAAAGGCAACAGGATTCGTCAAAGAAAATAAAGTGTAATATGTAATGTAATGTAAAGTATGTAATGACAAAAAAACATGTTAGCGTATTTACTATAAAGAGTATTAAAACAAGATCAGTCAAACACCTATTACAAGGCCTGTCGACCAATGACTGCTCGTGTAAGATGAAGTGATAGGTCTGGAGCAGCCAGAAGTTCTCCACAGGAAGTGGAGAGGACGCAGTTGTCCGTCAAGTGTCTTTTCACACTTTGAAGGAGTGTAACCCACAACAGGATGTGTAGTTACGTGGAGAGCACACTCTGTAGAGCTGAATGCGTTTTTCATTGGCTCCAGCTGTAACAAGTAAAACCGTGGCACAGAACACAGACAGCCGGAGCGAGGCTCCTTCATACGTCAGGCTGGAAATTAAAGTGGCAAAATTATAATTGCTGTGGCGTTAAATGTTTCTATAGTTACTGAGTGATTAATTCAGTTTTACAAAAAATGGATGCTGCAAAGCGCCTCAGTGTTTGTCAAGTTAGCAGAACATGTATGTACAACAATGAATCTTTCCAGTTGTCTGAAACATACGAGAGGAGATAATCAAAGGTAAACATAAAACTTATTGTGATCTATACTTTATATATACACAGTACGTTTACTGAACTTTGCGTCAAGGATGAACAGGACTTCTCCTCTTGTGACTAACCCGGACAAAATCTTGAGAAATCTTTTATGACTAAGCAGAGTACAGTATAACAGTCTACTGTACATGAGTGTCATCAGTCCAATCTGTCAAACAGCCCTTAAGATAAACTCACTGACGTCACACACGAGGAAATCAGCACTTTGTCCACGGCCATGTCCAAAATAAAACTTTGATTTCATTTGATACATTACAATGTATTTGAAGCAGTGACAGAAGAACTCAGAGGATGAATCTATTTTGTGCCCCCAACTTAAGTCTGATGCTGTGAGGTTGGAGGTGGGGGGGGCGAGGTACAGGGGGGGGGGGTTTAGTGACCTGATTGGTCAATCGACAATCCGTCAAGCTCGGGGCAAGTCTTGCTCGTGGTCGAGGCCTTCGGAGCAGGGCTGCTGCATCTGCACCACCACGGTCTCCACGGTGACTTCCTCCTCGCTGTCGCTGCTGTCCAGCTCATCGTCCTCGTACTCGGAGGACTCCTGGTCCTGCTCCGAGCGCGACGCTCCCGACATGGTCCCGAAGGAGTGGGCGCTGGTGGAGGCCAGGGAGCGCAGCAGCGGGGTGCTCTCGGACACCTCCTCGTTCTCATCGGGGCCGCTCTCCCCGTCCTCTGAGTCGGAGTCAGAGTCGCCCTGCGAGGGGACCACCTTCTGCTTACACACCGGACACGTCTTCTTGGTTTTGGTCAACCAGGGGTCCACACACTTACTGTGGTAGGCTGAGCACGACAAGGAAAAGTTAGTGTTCCTGACGAAGAACAATCAAATGTTTTATTCTAACATTAAACCGAGAGTACAACTCAGTCAACTATTTAATTGCCATTAATTAAACTGGTGACTGCTTTGATGGTCAATTTATAGTGAAATTACTCAACACTGGATATAAGCTTGGGGAAAAACAAGGAATTTCATTAGTTGGGCTTTAGGAGTGCACTGGGGACATTATTATTAAAATTATTATGAAGTGTTGGTCAAACATCAAAATTCATCTGCAAATAAATTGTTGAAAGCCCAACATTTGAATTTGACTTGATCTTCACAGGTTTATGTTATAAGGGAACATCACAGGATTATCTATGGCATCAACCCTCCGTGGACTGTGACCGGTTCAACCATTGGAACATTTGACTGTATGTGCATCAGTCCTCCCTCGAAAAATAAATAAATCCTTTAAAAGAAATGTTTAGGTGTGAGGGTTTCCTCCTTTTTAAAATATTTTTGATATTTGGTTAATCCTGGATGAGGATGTTTGTCCCATGTGTTCTTACTTCAAATGTATCGTTCTAACTCAAACAGTGGTATATTGTTATATGTCGGTCACAGAAAACTCTCTTGATATGACTCAATGTCCTTCTGACGCACTGAGCAAAGGTTCACGTGAGGATCCAGGAAATTTACCCTCTACTAAATACAACAACAATCATTTCCATACAGCTCTACTAATAAGTCACGATCTAAGGATCCGATTTAAGGGTCACGGTCGTGTTTGACTCACCATGAGAACACGGCAGGACTCGGAGTTTGTCTCCTTCTTCGTATTCGTCCAGGCAGATGGCACAGATGTCATAACTGTCCCCTGGGTGGAAGACATGACGCCTGAGCGTTAGTATACTCATTTCTTCTTGACCATTGGAAGTGTTTGGTCCAGATTAAGACTTTTAAGTTTGGTCCGAACCAAAACAACAGGTGTCAACAGACCAAAATTGAGTCTCACCAAAAGAGGTGATCTCAGACTGGATCAAACAGAACCATGGTTTGGTCAGTTTGCGATGTGAAACAATTCTTTGGATTGTTCAGACTTTTGGTCCAGTTGTAGGAATTGTCTCCATTCGAACTAACAACACGGCAACATCAGACACATGGATGTCCACAAACCATTCAATGTCGAGTGTAGTCGACGTGTTGTCAACCAACATGAAGTGAGAGACTAAATCTAACAGGATAATGTTTACAATGTTAGGAGCTTGGGTTGTGAGAGTGAGGAGGTGGTTTATAGTGGACTGGTTGGTTGGTTTTTTTTTTCCAGAAGGTTACTGACGTCAGGTGAATCCATGACGCCTCGGTTGCCTCATTAGTCTGACTTCCTTAAACTCTTTGTGGGACTTTTCCAAATAAATTTATATCCCAGCCGCACCCGCCCATCCAAACCTCCGCCCGCCAGTGAAATCACTAAAACCAAACTGCCAGCGCTGCATTTCCTAACGTTACAGAAAGTGCAGAGTCTCTCTGTGGACCTAAAGCTCAGGAATGTATCAACGCACTTGCTCTCAAATTCCACAGCGTTCCTCTTCTCTTCATTCCCTTCCTCTTCCCTGGGCCGAGAGGAGGGAGGAGAGGGGAGGAGAGGGGAGCAGAGCCGGTGTGTTTATGTAAGCTCTAAATGAGCATGTTTTCCCCCGACTGTGTCCGTGCCAGGGCTGCATGTGACCGTATAAGGATGAGGAGTCACATCGACCACAGCCTCCCCCGCCCCTCCTCCTCTTCCTTTCCTCTCTGAGCGTCAGCAACTTAAAGTCAAGGTAACATGTTTAACTCATTGCTCATTGTTCCTTTCACACTTACAGTCCCCACCACCAAATGATCATTTGAATAACTTACTCTACTCAACACTCTTCTTCCTTTTCTTTTGACATTATTCCAGAGCAGCGCCCATCTTTTCCCCCCTCTCTCTCTCTCTCTCTCTCACTGTTGGACCGTGGGGGTGAGGGAACGTTTACACAGGCCCAGATCCAGTTTATTCTCAGGAAATGCTGAACTGTGGCACTAACTGTTACTGAGCTATTCTGAGAGAAGCAGAGACAAGAATGTTCAGTGGTATCCTGAACTCTAAGACTGCTCTGAGGAGATAATACAGAGTCCAACAGAAGGGATGTCACGCCAAATTCAATCCAAAACTAGAAAACAACACACATTTCCGGATATGAACATTTTGATGAACTGTTGTTTATATAAAATGAATGTACCTCATCAAAGTGTACAGACCTGGATACGTGTCATACTTTAGTTTGTCCAAAACTTGAACCCGATGATCCTCAAGGTCAAAGTTAAAATACCTCCATACACCAGACTTGGCGTATTTTTCATCCACTAGTCTTGGCAGACCTGTTGTCACGCCCATACTTTTTCCCACCATTCCACATGTTGTAATTGTTTACTGTGCCTTCCTCTCTTATCACACTTGTAGAGTTATGTGGTCCTGGTCAGTCCCAGAATAACTACATCTCCACTACCTAAGACATCTATGGTTCTTCAGAGCAGAAAACAAAGTAACCTTCAGAATTTTGGCCTCAACTTGATAAAGGAGTGTTGGTTCTCATGACATTTCAGAAGTAGACAATCATTAAAGTTTTTAACTTCCAGGTTACTAACTTACTGAAGGACAAAACAAAGGTGAAAAGTCACATGAAAGCTGTAACTCTCCGAATAAAGTGGTTTCCCTAAAACGTCTGAACTCTTGTTTCTTTAAATACAACATGTTGTATTTAATCAGCTCAGTGATGTCATTACTGTGAGCCTCAGCGGGACAGAACATGTGAAGACGAATGTGCGTGTGCTTCATGTGCTTGTGCTAGGTTCCTATAATGTAGACGGCCTCCTGTCTCGCCTCAAGCTGTAATCCTGTGTGCTCTGTGTGTTTCAGCTCTGAAGGTGGGTGGTAAAGTAGATTTTTCAATGTTTGGCAGTGTGCGTGTACTCATACAGGTCTGGGAATGTCTTACAGTTACGTCTTGGGGCCAGTAGCACATCTTAAAAAGGCCGTGCGAGCCCGTGCAGCTCTTCTCCCTCTCTTCATTTTTCATTACTCAGCCGGTCTGCCAGCGCTCCTGGCTCTCAGAGGAACCACGCTGTCCCACTGAACTTCACATGAGCAGTGGCAGCGTGTAGCAGAGCGAGCGAATGAAAAGAGAGGGTGACAGAAAAACGCAGCAAAGAGAGAAAAAAAATTGCTGCTGCACAGTGAGTCACAGCTCGAGCCAATCAGACGAGGGCAACTGGCACTGAGACCGGGAGACAAGAGAAAGCTCCTCTGTACTGACATCAACATGCCTCACACACCGACGGCTGAGACACTGCAGCTGCTCTGTTCACTGTGTGTGTGCGTGTGTGTGCGTGTGTGTGTGTGTGTGTGTGTGTGTGTGTGTGTGTGTGTGTGTGTGCGCTCCATGCCTATGGTTTTTAAGCAGAAGGCTGAGGGGAGGGGCAGAGTGACTCATTATACGCAGGGCGGGATCAGACTGGAGGTCGGGAGTCACAGGGTCCAGCCTCCCTCCATCTAAACGTAGCTTTGAAAACAATCCCTCTTGTCTCCTCCACCAGTTTGAAATTCACTCTGCCTGTGTGTTTTGATTTTCCATCATCTGCTGGACGCCGGTTGCTAGCGAGACTCGCCCCTAAGAGGACAGAAACTTACTCTCAAACGTCAGGCTCACGGCCGAAGTGGGGATGACGCAAGGCTCTGCAACAGAACCAGAGCGTAAATCAACGTAATGGCAGCGCGGCGCTGCGTGCTGACAGCCGCGGCAGCTGCTATTACATAATCCTGTACATTGACACAGACCTTATGCTGCATGCTGCGGCTCAGACTGGTATTGTATACCAATTACATGGGTACCATGGTTTTCATTAAGGCATTGTGTTCTATCCATACAGACGCTCTTTGTTTTTCCTACTATTCATTTCACCCTGTGGACTCTGATTTCTATACATGCAAGTCTGACGTTATGCAGAGCTGAACGCTACCACCTCTGGTCCAGATCTGTACCAGAACAGTGGCTAAATGCATTAGAGATCAAATACTACCGTCAACTGTGAAGTAAAAGGTTGAAATTTAAAACATGCACGACAGCAGCAGCAAGACAGATGAAAATAGTGTGGAAACAGAAAAAACACTGAAGTGTTTGCAGAGGCGACAGAAACAGCAGATTGATTTTTCCAGTCTCGGCTCCAAAGCTGAAGTCGGGAGTTTTCTTAGCAACAAATATTAGAGAGAGGATCTAGTGGCCATCGTCATTCCGACAGTCTCATAATGACTTTAACATGCAATTGATGGAATCAAAGCCACAAACACTGTAGTTTCTGCTGCATTTCCAAAAAAAAAATAAAATAAAATAAACTCACAAAGCAGATACTCTGATCTGATCAGACTATGGATTGTACCTTTGAAAGTGACACGACATCACAGTGTTCCCCTTTCACTATAGCTGCATCTGTTCAAAGCCCCCAAATTCCGAGCTCAGCATTATCCGCTGTAGCTGAGGCCAAGGGCACCATTAGGCATCCTTCCCACTATGTGCTGCACACGCACACTTTCGAACTGATGAACCCCAAATTCAGGCACTCTGCCCAAAAGCGTGGTGGGATGGGAACTGGAGCAGCAGAGACTTGACTGTCACAGGGACGTATGTGGCACCAAATTGTCCCACAGCAAGATTAGTGTGTCACAACATGAGGCTTATATATATAAAAAAAACAAAAAAACAGACAGCGCGCTGTAAACAAAGACCGGTCTGATGAGCTTTGTGATTCTAGCTTGTCAGATGTATAGTGAGCCTGGCATAGTTTTTGTTGCTGCATGGCCACACCAATTCACTGGTGTGTCCTCAAACAGGACCAGACTTTTTCTTTTTTCTTAAAAGACGTCTCAGCAGATTTAACATTACTCTCATGTAACGTTGTGTGACTCTGCAGGATCAAAATCTGAGCAGCAGAATCAGAGACATCCTCTTTTTACTTGTCAGACACCTACAACGCTCACAGTGCAACTCAACCACAGACATTTCAGTCAGAGACTCCAGTGTGTTATGTGTGTTATGTGTGTTATGTGTGTTATGTTAGTGGCTAACGTAGCGTCAAGCCTCAAGCAGCGATTAGGAGCCGATGTCTGTTATGGTCACTACTTTCCAGACCTCCAGATTTGGATTGTTATCAAACTTGTAGTCTTCAGACCTACCCAATCTTCCCAAGTTGTCCCCAGTCTAAATAAAGTATATTCCACTAGTTTGTGAAACAGTATGTGGAGGAATGTCATGATAATTCCATTTCCTGATTGCTTATTTCAGTTTCCTGTTTTTTATCCCCTTCTTCCCAGATACATGTTATAATCTTTCCTTGCAGGATCCAAAAGCACCATTTTCTTTATTTTACAGCTCATAGCTTGTCATAGCAATCCATGTTTTATTAGTTAACACTAATATTTCTACATTATAATCTGATTTCTATGACACTAGATTGATAAATATTTATAGAGGCTATTTCTGTTAATATTGCTGCTATTAAAAGTCTTACCCTTATCTGGAGTAAACCCTCTCTAACAGTAACTCCCCAACAGAGGCATAGTCTGGTCTCTTGTTTACGCCCTCCCACATTAAAATCAGGGCACTCTGTTCCTTGAGCTTGCATTGCTCCAGAGTGCAGAGTCTAAAAGGTGATTAGGTTTGGAGATTTGATGTCCGCTTCCTGTGTCACCAAACACTTTGACTCAGCTGACAGGAGCGGAGACAGCTCCCCCGGGGGCTGTTTCCTGGACATCTGAACACCCCCCCCCCCCTGCAGAGGTCCAGGGTGAGTGTAGCAGTG